CCCCCCCCCCCCCAGTTTCTGGTCGTCCTACTTGGTGTCTGTCTGTTAACCTCCTCCTCAGAGATGCCCAGCGTCTGGAGGAGTTCTACAGCAAGAACCACCAGCTGCGGGAGCATCAGAAAGCCCTGCAGGAGAACGTAAAAGTGCTGGAGGACAGGTGCCTGCCCCGGCGTCACCGTGCCACCTGGTGGTCTGTCCGTACGCGTCTGCCGGTCTCTGAATCCTAGACTATAACATTTAATTTTATTCTATAGCTGAGACCCATTGCAAAGGCTGGAGTGGAAATATAGCTAACTATATATAATTGTTAATTGCGGATTGTGCCCTGCAACAATGAATGTAGCCAATGATTTACAAAGACAGTAATATAGTTACTGTAATACCTCACCATCTGGTATTCAGTGAATATTTAGTGCTGTTTGGTAATAGTGGCACTGGAAAATGTTTATCTTGCTGAGATCCAGGGAAAAACATTTATTTAATATTGAATAAAATGTTGATTTGACGGGAAGACTAAGTTGGCATGGTCATACCCCCAAACGTGGTGCATCTTAAAGCCCTAAGTGCCCTCTTTAAAGAGGAACAACACATGATGGCATGTACAGTAAGAGGGATGAATCAAAACATCTGTAGAGGACAGAAATGAACCACTGGATCTCAGCAGGATATATGTAACTGAGCTGTGGGTGTGAGTTTGTGTGTCAGGGATGTGACCCCCTCCCCCTTCTGGCAATGCAGACTGAGAGCGGGGCTCTGCGACCGCTGTGCCGTGACTGAGGAGCACATGAGAAAGAAGCAGGTGGAGTTCGAGAAGGTCAGGCAGCAGAACCTGCGGCTCATCACCGAACTCAGTGAGTGACATGAGAACGTCACTTTAATACACCCATCTTATGCGCCGGTGTTCCGCCAGACGTCCCGATCCCAGGGAGGGTTAACCGTACTGTCACCGCTGACTGGCTCTAAGCTAGCCCAGTGGCGCCTGCCGTGATCCCCTCTGATGCCATCACACCATCCGCGTGGTTATCATCCATGAGCTAAGAGCTGCCCAGCAAAATGTGGTGGCCGGACTTCTTAACTTTTGCAGACACGTTATTATCATTAAACTCTGTGATTATTCATAATAGCGGTGCGGCGTGACACTCTGCAGCTTAGGGCGCTGTGCCTGTGATTGGAAAGTCGCTGGTTCAAATCCCGCGGTCGGCGGAATAGTCACGTCACTGTTGGGCCCTTGGGCTTAACCTCTAGAGATGCCCAGGAGTGCCGGATAAATGCCTGATCTTGCCTCTGGATCTAAAGCACTGCGCTCACTTGTATATGCTGCGAAGGAGAGCAAGATGGGATATAGGAAAACTATAGAATCCCTGCCTGGTCTCATATGGTGAATAAAGTATGATCATCATTCCTTTATTGATACCAGACCTGGCAAATATCAGTTGGTTTACCAGCAGATATCACCTCATTGCCGTTTGAGTGGTTTACACTGCCTATACAGTCAAGCCTTCTCTGTAGACACACCCTCACGAAAGTTCAGGTCAGCCAGCCACACATCCTGCTCTTGGCAGAGCACTGCCATCTTCCAGTTTTATACAAGGAATGACTTCTTCCACGTCCAGAAAAACTGGTGTCCGCAAGGTGGCAGACTGATCCTGCCGCTCTGTCGCACTGAGCCGGTAAACCCTGCTGTCTGGAGGAATGTAGAGACCCAACGTCGCCCTTTTGGCCTCGGAAAGGCCACTTTTTTTGAGAAAGGAATCAAAAAGCTACATTGATGTGGCAAAAGAATAGTTTGCCTTTACATCTGTGATGCTGAATTTCATGTTAAGAAATTTTTTACAGTCATGAGCCACATAACATTTTGGTCAACGACGGACCGCGTTTACAACAGTGGTCCCATAAAATTATAACGGAGCAGAAAAATTTGTATCACCTAGCAGAGTTATCTGCCCTCCTCATTCTCCCATCTCAGTGAACGAGAGAAACAAGCTCCAGGATGAGAACCGCAAGCTGGTCCAGCAGCTGGAACGCCTGCGGAGCACGGGGTGAGCAGCGAGGCCCAGCCGCCGTCCGCCTCCTTCCCCAGCACCTTCGCTCCAATGCTTCCTCATGCCAGTGTTTCCCAAACGGCCCCAAAGGTGCGAGAGAGCCCAGGCAGAGCCGGAGGAGGGCGTGATCCCGGACTCCCCTCACCATCAGCCCGTCGTGCCCACCATGAACAGGATGCGGCGCAGGAAGGAAAATCGGCACGTGCGCTACGCTGAGAACCCGGGTATGTTCTCCTCGGGGTTAGGGAGGGAGCAGAATAGGCAGGTGGAACATGGTCATGAAATAAGAAATAAAATTTACAAAGCTAATTGCAGCTAACTAGTCTTACCAACAATTTGTGATTAAAACATTTTGGCAAAAAGCAGAGGTGGCGTGTTTTTATAATGACTAAGTGTGGTATTCAGTAAATCAGGGTTTTTGGTGGACAGCATTACAGATCTTGTGTCCCATGTTCTCGCGTGTTCCACGCCTGTGTTCAGTCGTGTTTATGCTTGGTTCTCTTCAGAGCTTGGCAGGGGCTTCTCCTCCCAGATGCCCTCCTCCTGCGGCCTTGCCGACGGTGTGCTGGTGCCGGAAACCTGCGCCATGGATGATTCCCCGCTTAAGAGTAAGAACGGCCCTCATTTCGTCATGACTCCAAACACGACTTGCCGGATTATGGGCTTTGTGGAGAGCTTTAGTGCAGTCTGCGGTGCTTCCTGCAGCCTCAGCTACTTCACAACTCAAAGCCTCTTAAGTTACGTTACAGTTACTGTACATGTTTTGTTGTAAGGTTTGAATTTGGACAGTGGTACTCATGTGTTAATTAAATTAAAGCTGATTCAACTTGATTCCAAGGGACTGTCAATAGAAAACCCATAATTAAGATGCCTAAAAAATTAAAATATGCTACTTTTAAAACCTTCGCTTGTATGTCATTATTATTTTCTGCGCTGGTGTGGTAACGGCTGGGGTGACCAGGGCAGCAGTGATGAGGAAGGCTGCAGTGAAAGCGCAGCTACAGCAGCCCCTGTAGGCACCAGTGCAGGATCTCTGCACACCTCACTGCCTCTGAGTGCTGCAATAGGAGCCACTGCACCTATCTTGCTGTACAGGCCATGTCCTGAGGCCACTCATTCACTTTGAAGGTGGGGGTGGGGTGGGGTGGGTCATTACGGTGGGGGTGTGGCATATTACCATGACAGGGGCAGAGTAGATCGGCTGGGCGGGGCAGGTCAGGTCAGCACAGTTTCCCTGTGCCACCTTTCTTCTGCTGACAGAGTAAACATCACCCTTTACATGTTCAGCCTCTGGTGCCCAGTGCTGGTAACTGAACTGCATGTCTGCTGTGCTCTGAATAATGTTCGGGTGGTTGTGAGTTCATGGGACAGAATCGCATGAAAACTAAACCCCGTTGTTCGACCAGATGATAGTAATGGGTGTTGTTACAATAGGAAATATGAAGGCGTATATGATTTGACCCTTGACCTCCTGTTCCTTGTCTTTCCCGCGAGTCTGTTCCTGTTCACCTCTTAGGGTCATGGCCCTGTCTGCACTTTGTGTCACAGACAGGTGTGTATCCCACGGCGACGGGCCAGGCGTCACCATGGTGGCTGAGACATGCCGCCTGGACGTCCCTGACGATGCAGTAAGCCAGCCGTACCTTGCAGCCGTGTCTCATTGTGCTGTTTCGAACATCTGCGTCCCCTGTCTCTTGATCTCATTCTCGAGGATGGCTAAAACATGCCCTTCTGCCACCACCTGTCAGGCATTCAGATCATCCATTTCCTTTTAGGTTAATTTCTTCTGTTTTATCACGCTCAAAACGACACCGTTGTGCTACACTTCATGGAACATTTTTCACTTAGAAAAAAGAAGAAACTTAGTGATGTTATTGTTATATAAAATGATACTGTGTCAAATTCTGATTGTATCTCTCTGTTGCCGGTATTTGATATAAGTTACTCCTGTGGAACAGGTTCTTGTAGTTTGAGATGGTATCAGTTTTAGGGCAGCTCATTGTAAGAGTCACCGAATACCTGTCTTACGAATGTGTTTAAGAAGAATAGCCTTTCAGATCATGTAAGTGAAGCTAGAAGTGATTTAGGTGGGTCGTCGATATAATAGCAGCTGGTACCATGTGCATTATGGTCTGTTGATGTAGGAATCACTGGAGAACATCAGCACCAAAGAGTACTTCGTGAAGAAAAACGAGAACGGCTCCAGGTATTTCTGCGATTTATGCATCCACGGCTAATTTAACTTGTTTGTTTTATAGCGGTCCAGCACACATTAATTAAGGAGTCAAATGATCATTGTAATTAGAGAGGACAATAGTAGTATTGCTGTTTTAAGGGCCAAGGGAGAATAAACTTTCTTAGCTGGAGGGACACACCCAGATACATCTCTGCGGAAATTCAATACCATAATGGGTTCGGCCCACAGCTCATATTGACAAGCGTTCATGTCAAATTAGCATGTAGCTGAATCGTGGAGTAGCGTTCGCAGCGCCCCAGGGGACTACACTCATGGCGGGTGTGGTAGCTTGAATTGAAAGGCTTGAAGTATATATCTTTTGTTGATGGTGTTGCAGGCAGGCTTCGACATCTCCGGACTCTTCCAGCGGTCTGGAACGGGCCCAGAACAATTCTCCAGTGCTTGAGAGGTCAATGAAGTTCCTGAAGACCAAAGATGACAGCTCTCCGTCAATTCTGAGAACCTATAAGCTGTGCCCTATGGAGCGAAACTCGCAGGTCAACTCACGCAACGCGCCCTTCAGAATCGGGACCCCCAGCAGGGTCTCTTCACCAAACAAGGAGTCCGGACTGACCTCGGGTCAGAACCAGGTTGTGGCCAGGCTGTTAGGGTTCGACTCCAAGAGAAGAAAGATAGCCCATAAGAACAGGGCTGATGGTGTTCCTGACAAGCCCCTCGATCTGTCAGACCGGCCTTCCAGCAGCTGCCAGCTGGGAAAGGAGACTGAGGCCAAGGATGTTCTCATGGCAGGCCAAGAGAAGCCTTCTGTGACCCAGCCAAAGGGCCTTAATGCCATCCGGGGGCCTGAGCATCCAGAGGACCAGGAGAACACCATCAACAGGTCCCCAGACCAGAATCTACACTCCGGGCCCTTCAAAGTGCCCTCCGCCCCCCCCTTCATCAGAACTATTATCCAGCACTTATTAGATGTCAAGGTAGGATTTGTAGGCAGATTCAGGTTTGGCTGTGAAGGTGACAAGATCTTGAATTTTGGTTCTGGTGCTGAGTTCCTAATGAACAGCCATTAACTGCAGTATTTGGTTGCCCTGTTCCACGCAGCATGAAAATGTGCCCAGGTTATTCCCACTATTCCTAGTGGAACGTAGACTGTTAGTCTTTGGTAACAGGAGTAGTAAAAGTCAAAGTTAAAGTAACTTTGTCATCTCAGCTCTGTGCAATTGGGTCATACGCTAAGATATAAAAACCACTAAAAAAAAACACCTGATTAGGTGGGAAACATTGTACAAATAGGCAATGGAATGTAATGGACAGATATTGGACACAAGCTAGTCTCTGTACTGGTAGAGATGGTTTTATTTCTTGCAGGAGTAAGAATCAGTTGAATGCTCCAAGTTGTTTACAGAACATTGATTACATAAGATATATGGTTAATAAATTTTGTGGGAAGTTGATTATTTTAAAAACCATTGGGAATATGTTTTCTGTTTAATGCATTCTCTGAAATATGTTCAGAATACTAATGTTGAAATGTACTCACAATTATTCGTATTACCTTTTCTCTATATTTGTTTCTACCTCCTTTCCTGTATCAGTGACAAACCAGGATTTTATAATACAGTGGCAGGGTGTAATTTCTATACAAATCTAAATGCATCTTACTAATATTTATAACGTATACAACATGACAAGGATAGCAATCAGTACGGAATAATTCTGTAGTTTGTGGTTAGCTTTTAACTGTTTGTCTATGTAATGGGCAGACCCCCGAGGAGCCAATCAGAAAGAAGACTTGCGTCAGCGTGGATTCTGAGAAAATGTCTGTGCTGCAGCCCAACCCATGTGCGCGGAGGAAGAGCCCTTCACGGGAACCTGACGGTACGGTACTGGCCTTCACGGGAGCCTGACGTTACTGGCCTTCACGGGAGCCTGGCGGTAGGGTACAGGCCTTCACGGGAGCCTGGCGGTAGGGTACAGGCCTTCATGGGAGCCTGGTGGTAGGGTACAGGCCTTCACGGGAGCCTGGCGGTAGGGTACTGGCCTTCACGGGAGCCTGGCGGTAGGGTACTGGCCTTCACGGGAGCCTGGCGGTAGGGTACTGGACTTCACGGGAGCCTGGCGGTAGGGTACTGGCCTTCACGGAAGCCTGGCGGTGCGGTACTGGCCTTCACGGGAGCCTGGCAGTGCGGTACTGGCCTTCACGGGAGCCTGGCGGTGCGGTACTGGCCTTCACGGGAGCCTGGCGGTGCGGNGTGCGGTACTGGCCTTCACGGGAGCCTGGCGGTGCGGTACTGGCCTTCACGGGAGCCTGGCGGTGCGGGGCGGGAGTTGGGCTCATGACCACACCACGTGACACATGTGCTATTATCTTTAAGTTTGACAAGTGTTACTTAAAATTTCAAACAGAACACAATTAAAAATTATAAGAAGGAAATTGTGGTAATTTAGACTACCATTTGTAAGCCTGAGGACCAATACCTGATGATTAAACACCAAAATGAAAGTCCACTTGTAGTCCAGTCATATTGTACAGTCCTAGGTAACCTATCTGAACGAGATGGTATGCAAATCCGCCTTTATTAACTGTGTATCTGGCGGTTCTTCACCTCCGCAGCCGTGCATTTAAAAACATATTTTATATTTTTATTAACCTTTCCATAAAGGCTATGGTTTGAGCATAATCGACACCGGAAGATGAATGTAATTTGACAAGCTATTTGTAGTACTATGAAGCAATGGGATTAAAACATGAGTATATAAATACAATATGTATTTGTAACTATTAAGAAAGCATTATTGGTGTGTAGGTACAGCTTTAGGATTGAAAGACTTCTGGGTGCTGCATGTTTCTGGCATGGGACTTCTCCACAATCTGCGTTGTTCGTACATCATTCACTCTTGGGTGCTAAATAGCTATCTAGCTAAATACATCACAAGACAGCTAGTCCAACAGAATACACCGTGAACTTTACGACACGTTTTACTATGCAAGTGTATTTTTAATGCATCCTGATGAAACTGGAAAAAATGAAAGGCTGTAGGGTAACAGATGGCTTAAAGTAGCTTTGATACGTACCATCGTTTCTGAATCACTTTTATGGGCTTTCACTTGGAGGCCAAACACTAAGTTAATTTTCAGCTATTAACTCATTTGTATGATTTTTTTCTTATTAATTCTGGAGACATTCCTTTATCATGGCCATTTTCTGCATCACTAAACTTTGTTTAATGGAATTATGGGGAACCAGTATAGTTTACCAGCACAGTGTTGCATTTCTAATTTCTATGTATTTATTTACGATTTTGCTTTTACTGTGGCTGTTTGTCCAGGCTTAGGATGTAGCCCATTCGTGTCACAGGTCTGTTTGACATCCATGACCTGGCTGTTCTCCGGTTTACTCATGAAAGCTGGTGCTGACAGTGAGTTTTCAGGCTCGTGAATCCAGCCCATTGTGCCCCTGATGGTTTATGCTCAGCATGTCTGGACCTGAGCGCGGGACGCGTACGGCTCGCCCCGACGCAGCTGCCGGTCCTGTCAGCCAGCGAGGCGGCGTGCGGCGGCGGCGGCTGGGAATTTACGGACCTGTTGGAGCTGCCGGTACTTGTGGGACACTCCTCCGCAGCCCATGGCAGGGCGGCGCTAGCGGAGGCTGCAGATCAGCCTTAAGGAAATCACACTGACTTTTGCCATAAACTTCAATTAAAATGGAGTTAGTGTGCTCTTTTTGTTTACTGCGACTGGGAATGTTTATCTCTCATCCATTTATACTCATACATCTATGAATGTAATTGTCAGCACCAAAAAGCAGTTGCCTATGTATTTTTGGGTGTGTTTTAAAGATTTTTTATTTATTTTTTAAATAATTTGTCCACGGTGAACATGCCGGTCACAGACGCTCTTATGGCACGCCTGCCTCATGGACCGCTCTTGTTTCTAAGCAGTGCTTCAAAGGACACGTTTCCCATGAAGCTCAGCTAGCTCTCCTCGCGTCATATTTCACATGGCAGGCCTCTGCCCTGCTTTATACGCACGCAAGTGCTCTAGTGCTGACGCGTGGCCTGTGTGTTAGTGAAACTGTTCGTTTTTAGTTGCCGAATTTTGAATAGTGATATTTATTCATCCTTGTGGGAAGCTTTCTTCTCACCTACCACATCTTGCTCTCCATGCAGGCGGGAGCAGGTGTGGGGGTGTCAGCCACAGGGTCACCCAGCATGCAGCTCCCTGGACCTGGGGCTTAAAGGCCTTGTTCAAGGGCCCATGACTATTCTGGCAAGGCTCAACCCAGCGACCTTGCAATCACAGACACAGAGGCTTAACTCCCTCAGTGACACACTGCCCCCCCAAATTGCCCTAATAGATGTTGTGGATACTTCTAGTTACTGATAGATGAACCTCCATAAGGGGCAGTATGAGGTTCTGCAGGTTATGCCCTCTGTGCTTACAGTCTTCTCCGGAACATCTGCTTTATTGTCACTGTAGCAGTTCTTGCAAGCGTGGAGCAGTAGAAGGACACAAAAAATACGTTTTGTGCTTTAGCCATGGGTGTAAATTACGATGGGGGGGATGTGGGGTTGTAACCGCCCCCCCCCCCCCCCCCCCCCCCCCCCCCCCCCCCCCCCCATAATCAAAACCAGCTAATACAACCCACCAATAATCATGTGTCCCCCTAAATGGGTGGAGACTATTTAGTTCAAACCAAAGTTCTGCCCTTGGTTTTAGCCCTTTACGTTTCATCTTGTTTCTGAACAGTGGATTGGCTAAGAACCACAGTTCATGCTTCACATGAGAATTCTAAAGCTCGCAAGACAATGTGAAAGAATGCAATTTGGAATAATGCGATCATGGATTCATCTCCATGTCTGCTAGAGGAAGCAGGCTTTGTTGATGAAATGTTCTGGAAAATGAGAGCTGTACTCATAACTGTGAATGTAGTGTATCACTCAGGAAAGGTGGACTTCTGCCATCCTGGTATCCCTCTTGTCCTCTCAGCTGGTCCTGTGTACCTCGGGGGAGCTGTGACATTTTCTGGGGTGGCGTAGCTTCGCGCTTCTGTTTCGTAGACATGCGTGACTTAGGCTGTAATATTATTGCAGAAAAAGCTTTTAAATTTGACAGTAAACGACTAAGGCTGTTGAAGATCATCTGTACAATCCGAAATCAGCATGTGGCCCTTCGGCCAGTCCGTGTTTAACATGGCACCCTGGGATTCCTCTCGGCCTAATCACTGATTTCTTGGGTAGCTCTGATGAATCGCTTGCCAGGAAGGGTTATGTTAACACATGGCCTTTCAGCGGATGCTGGTGGCTTGGGGTCACGGCGACGGGTGACAGACTGCGCACTGGGGCCACAGTTTTCACATGCAAACACACAGAGCTGACCTGCAAATTCCCTGTCTTTCAGTTCAGCTCAATGAACATTTTTAGAACACACACACACGCATTTATAAAAGTGGAAAACATAAGTGTACTGTGTGTGTGTGTGTTCTGGATGTACACACCTGCCCTATTCTATCTGGAATGCCCCCCTCTCCCCACCTCCCATGAAGTTGCACTGGATAAAATACTTGGAATATGGATGTTTATTATGATTATAATTATTGTTATGATAATGATGTAATAAAGCATACATGCTCTGCACAAGACACCTGACACTTCAACATGATGTCATCAGTTATGCACAGTGTGTTAAATGATTTGGTTTATGTGAGGTTCCTCTGTGTACACCTTTCCTCAGAAAAGTCATCCAAGGCGGTTGACCAGACGTGGAGCCTGGACCCGGGGGCAGCCCTGTCTCAGTACGCCATGGACACCCCCACTCACGCCACGGTGCTTAAATTTAGCCAGGCCGGAACACACCATATATCTGTGACAAAATGAATCATGAATCATAAACATCAGTTAGAACTGTAATGAACAAGACATGTACAATGTATGATGAAGGATTATAAATGTTAAATATAAACTACAGTTATTTTAAAGAATCCTAGAGCAACATAATTTTAACAGCTGACAGTAATTTAAATCAACTACTTAGGTAATTGATCTGACATAGGAAGCTCTATACACTTTCTCTACAGAGTGATTAAATTACCGACAGGATTTTCTGTACGATTTTTAGGCCAGCAGTTTAGTAACTCAGAGAGGTTTGGCGCCCTCTGCTGTTTGGTATAGTATTGCATTTCTTGGGGACCCATCCACAGGTGTTTCACTGTTGTGATAAGTGATGGGGTGCCTCTACCTGTCCTCTCTCAGGTGGATCCTCCAAGATTGGAGGGTGAGACGGTCGACACAGACTGCACCTTTGTAAGCCACAGTATGCTCCTGAAGGGCCTGAATCCGGATGAGGACCACCCCTGCACCGGTGCGTATGCTCTCAACATTCGCCAAGTCCGTGCTTTGGCAAACCCAGGAAGAGCCCTGCTTAGCTAATAGGATAATTGACTGTTATTTGCTTTGATGCTGAATGTTTACTAAAATATGTTCAGCGTTTAACAATTTGCCTTCCCCCTCTGGATCTGGATTGGTCTTCCCGTTTAAAGAAAAATATATGATAGAATAGAATAGAGAGACTTTGTTGTTTCTTGAGGGGAAATTCTATTTTCGTCTACTCCAGCTTGCTTTTGATGAGACACACAGACACATACACAGGGGAGAGTAGGCTTGGGGGTCACTGCATAGAGTCAACTAGTGTGCAGCACACACAACCCTGGAAGTTAAGGGTTCTACTCAAGGGTCAACGGACACGTGACTAATCGGCCGAGTCCTTCAGTTTCCTCCTGCTGCCCAAAGACGTGCCTTTAAGCTGATTGGCTGCCCAAAGACGTGCCTTTAAGCTGATTGGCTGCACTTAGATGGGTGAATGTCAGGGGAGCCTCAGGCGAGCCTGACATTCTGACAATCAGAACTGGACTGAAAAACAGGTTTTGGTTCAATTTGTCTAGTTAGAAGTCTGTGTGTTTTAAGAGTGTCACTCCGTTTAAAGGTTTTTTTTTTCTTTTTTTCTTTAATTTGAACATCGGCTGGTAAGATAAATAACCTAAGGAACATTTACCATTGCAACTTTGCTTTATAGTTTGTTTTAGACCAGAAATAGCAGCAGGGTACAAGGCTTATTGCTAATGCATGTGATAATTCTCGCTATAAAGCAACATAAACCCTATGGAATAATCATCTACTCTTTAGCACGAACAGGCCCATGGTAATCCGAGTGACCGAAGAGAGTAAACCTTACTGTGCCTATCTGATTTTCCCCGGCAAGGAATTGGCCAGAAAGCCAATGACAGCTTGGAGCAGCTATTTGACAAGACGGCGTATGGGGAATACGAGTCATGCCATCAGGAGGATGGGGAGCGGCCACAGCCAGAGGAAGAGGAGGAGGCCGAGGAAGGGCCTGTGGACGGTGAGCATTTTCCTCCAGCACTGCTGTGAGAAGCCATCCACAGAAACACTTTAAAGTGACCAGGTGAACCTTTTCAGATCTGCCTGCTTGCACTACAGAGGAGGAGGAAAAAGTGAAAACCGCTGGAAATCACGGCACCAGGTAAGGCAGAGACTTGTGACCTGCTGGCTCAGGGCGTTCCAGTGAGTCATAGCCATCTCAGCACGATCTACCATCCTCTCTTCCCACAGGACCAATGCATCTTTTGCTCACGTGGAGGTGGTACGGAAGAAGGATGAGAGGAGGAAATTAAAAGGGCACACGTGCAAAGAGTGCGAAATCGTGAGTATGAGAAAGAGGAACAAGAGAATGAAGCTGGAGGGGCACACATGCAAAAAGTCTGACGTAGTGAGTATGAGAAAATAGAAAGAGGTGGAAGCCAAAAGATACACAGGCAAAGAGTGTTAAATAGTGAGTGAGAGAAGGATGAGACAAGAAAGCAGAAAACGCACACATGCAAAGAATGTGAAATAGTGAGTATGAGAATGAGGAACAAGAGGAGGAAGTAGAGATGCAAAGAGTGTGAAACGGGGACTGTGAGAAGGAAAGACGAGGAGGACTGAAGGGGAACACGTGTAAACAAAATTGAGTGTGAGAAGAAGGGCAAGGGGGGAGGCCAAATGGCACACGTGCAACGAATGTGAAATAGTGAGTATGAGAAAAGGACAAGAGTGGGAAACAGAAGGGGCACATGTGCAAGTAGTGTGAAATAGTATGATGAAGGAATAGAGGAGGAAGCGAAAAGGCAGACATGCAAAGAGTGTGAAATAGTGTGTGAGAAAGAAGGACAAGAGGAGAAAGAAGAGGTACATGTGCAATAAGTGTGAAATATTAAGTATGAGAATGGAGGAAGTAAGGAGAAAGCAGAAGATGCACACATGTAAGTGGTGTGAAATAGTGAGTATGAGAAAGAAGGACAAAAGGAGAAAGCAGAAGGGGAACATGTGCAAATAGTGCAAAAAGGTGAGTATGAGAATGAAGGATGAGGAGGAAGCAGAAGTGTTACACATGCAAAGAATGTGAAATAGTGAGTATGAGAACGAGGAACAAGAGAAGCCAAAAGGCACACATACAAAGAGGGTGAAATAGTGAGCATGAGACGAAAAAGCAGAAGTCGCACAGGTGCAAAGAATGTGGCATAATGAGTGTGAAAGAGGAACGAGAGGAGAAGCCAGAAGACACATGCAAATCACGTGAAACAGTGAGTATGAGAAGGAAGGATGAGACAAGAAAGCAGAATCACACACACGTAAAGAATGACATGAGAACGAGGAACGAGAGGAAGCAGATGTCACACATGCAAAGCATGTGAAATTGTGAGTATGAGAATGAAGGAGGAGAGGAGCAAGCGAAAGACGCACACATGCAAATCATTTGAAATAGTGAGTATGAGAAAATAGGAAGTGGAGGAAGCCAAAAGGCACACATGCAAAGAATGTGAAATAGTGAGTATGAGAACGAGGAACGAGAGGAGAAAGCAGGAGCACATGTGCAAAGAATGTGAAATAGTATGAAAAAGGACGAGAGGACACATGCAAAGAATGTGAAATAGTGAGTATGAGAACGAGGAACGAGAGGAGAAAGCAGGAGCACATGTGCAAAGAATGTGAAATAGTATGAAAAAGGACAAGAGGACACATGCAAAGAATGTGAAATAGTATGAGAACGAGGAACGAGAGGAGAAAGCAGGAGCACATGTGCAAAGAATGTGAAATAGTATGAAAAAGGACGAGAGGACACATGCAAAGAATGTGAAATAGTGAGTATGAGAACGAGGAACGAGAGGAGAAAGCAGGAGCACATGTGCAAAGAATGTGAAATAGTATGAAAAAGGACAAGAGGACACATGCAAAGAATGTGAAATAGTATGAGAACGAGGAACGAGAGGAGAAAGCAGGAGCACATGTGCAAAGAATGTGAAATAGTATGAAAAAGGACGAGAGGACACATGCAAAG